GCTTAAAATGACTTCAATCAGAGCAGAAAGTCTTAAATTCATGATGTCATGTCATTAAATGTCGCATGCACTGGAAAAAATGAATCTCGTCAGTATTTTTGTTTTGTTTCCAATAAAAATATCTAAACAGATCAAGATTAATCAAGATGCATGTACTTGAGGTGCAAATTAAATGTATAACTTGAACAAAATGAAATAAGTTAATGCCTGAAATAAGAACAAATATCTGTCAATGGGGTATTAAAACTTTTTCCATTTGAATTAAGTTGGTTTTTCTGAGCCCATTGGAAGATATTCTTGTTTTAATCATAAACTCCCTTCATTCTTTTAATCTTATGTCATTTTACTTCTCAAGTAAATGTTTCTTGATTTCCTTCAATTTTCTTTACTTGGTCTTAAAAAGTATTAAAATTGCCTTCATAAAACCTGCAGAAATTCTATTCAGAAACCTAATGTACTAGAAATAGCTGTTACTGTAGGCAGTTTCTATAAAGTAATCACAAACAACTGGAAAATGTAGGGGGAACCCTGTTTTTTTTATAAATTATAATTTATTCATCTTTTAACTTAATGTGTTCTATCAATGCAGGGGTTTGAAGCACAAGGACTACCCATTTAATGCTGAGTATTAAAAGAAGACATCTCGAAAAATGCTGTTTAAAGAAAACATTCCTTGTTCCCAGGATTGTTGTTTTTGCCATTGATCAATGTGAAAATGCTCTTCATTTTCAATTATGAATCAGTTACTGAGAAACTTCCTGCAACTGATATGTTACTTGCTGGTTTGGAATTTAAAGCAAGTCTTATTACAGCAACAGCTATACTTCAAATTAATCTTCTTTTTTTGCCCATAAACATGGAAGTATTTGTTAATGCTTTGACAATTTCAAGCTGTTACTACTTCAGTGCAAATGTGAAAAGGCTTGCATTAAATATCACAAAACAACACAATTAATCATAAAGAAGTCTTTGAGAAACATATGCACTAGTAACATTTTATTTGAACAATGTCACATACTTTGCACAATGAGGCAGATAACATGAGAAAGTATTGGTCCTGAAGAATATATATATATATATATACACATACACACTCCTAATTTTCATAATATGACAACAGAAGCACTTTCAGTTCGCAAGAGCAGCTCATGTTTAGTGTATTGATGTATGCTTTAAAAATCCAAATAAAGCTCTGTGTCAAACAGCTCTCTGGCTTATGTTTTTGAATGTGTGGAAAGTCTTATGTCTTTAACAACTCACTTGACCTTTACTTAAACATTTAACCACATTCAGTCCCTCAAATGGCCGTATTACACTTGATAAATGCTGATAATGTGGTTTTGCTCCTAACTTTCTTGCAGTCTCTGAGATTATCAACATACTTCATTTATCCCTGATGGGAAATGCAGGAGTCATATTTACTTCACACTGCAGTTAGAAACTGGATTTATTAAAGCTTTAGTATTTTGCATTCAATGGATAATCCTTATGCTTGGAAGCCCTGCAATAAAAAGGCAAAGGAGGCCATTAGCATTTCTAGACACCTAATATTACACGAATGGATACAAAGTCCACTACAAATTTGCATAACGATGACTAACCACTCCAGCATAAAAGCTCTCCAGTTTCTGTTAAAACTCAGTATGGTGTTCATCTCTTCTTTACTCAGCTCAAAATCAAAGAGCTGTAAGGATAAAAGACCTAAATCTTAATAAAATGATGTACATGTTGACCATTTCTGAAAATGTTATAATTCTTGTATATCTGGAGAACTTGTGCTACATGTAGAACACATATGTACGTGGTTTAATTAAAATGGAAATACCTCAAAATTCTCTTTGATTCTCTTAGGGTTTACAGATTTGGGAATGACCACAACATTCCTCTGCATGTGGAAGCGGATTAGAACCTGGAAGGAAAGTTCAATACTTAGCATGTCACATAATGGAGGAAGGCGTGTGTAATGCAAACTAGCAAATATTACAAGGGTCATCTCGCATTCAGCTGACAGGTAAAGCATTGTGCTTCAAAGTTGGTGGATACATAACATGGACTTAGCATATCATAACTAATAAAAAACGCAAGTTTATACCTACCTGTGCTGTGGTTTTACTGTGCTTATCTGCAATGGCTTTGATCTTTGGGTCCTCCAGCAGTGATGGCTCACCTGCCTGTGCCCTAAAGAAAGTCAAATCTATATGAAATAATGTATAGCCATCTCACTATATATATATATATATATATATATATATATGTTAATTAACAAACGAATGAGAGTACTTACCATGGTCTGGTTGGGGAACCCAGGGGACTGTATGCGGTGACTGTAATGCCTTTGGACTGACTAGTTAATCAGCTTCTCCTGAGTCAGATATGGATGGCACTCGATCTGGACGTGAGAAGCAGCGGAAAGATTTTGGCACCAATGAACTACAAAGTCTTAATCCGTTTCAAATTCTTCAGATTTATTGCAAACAACACAATACCTGATTATTGGCAGATTTGTACTTGAGTCCTGGTTTATTCAGGATTCTCTCAATCTGATCCCGGTTGAAGTTGGACACACCGATGGCCTTGACCAACCCAGCATCCACTAACTCTTCCATTGCCTTTGTGAGAAGAAATTAACACTAAAATAAACAGTAATTTTTTTTTTTTATCAATGATCAAATGTGAGTTACACAAGTCTCAAATTAATTTTGTTTTTATTATACTGTTTAATACCTCCCATGTTTCTAGAAAATTGCTGTTGTCTGGAATTACTTGGCCATCCTTATCAAATGGGAAAAACTCTTTTCCAGGCTGCCAATTTTGATACACAGATAAGCATTAATATATATATATATATATGTACAGTATATATAATGCACAGAAAATACAAGCAATTATCATACTGTTATTAGTTTTATATTATTATATACTTATCAGTACTACCTTAATTCCCATGGGAAAGTGCATTAGGTAGAGATCAACATAGTCCAGTTTTAGGTCACTTAGGGTCTTTTCACAGGCTCCTCTTACCAAGTGTTTCTCATGGTAAGTGCACCACAGCTTTAAAAAATGCATGATTTAGTTTATGGCCAAAGCCCCTTTCAAGTTGTGTATTTGTTAAGCATTTTTCTACAAGTTCAATTGTTAAACCACAACTTGCATTTCAGTAATCAGAGCATGACGTAACAGAGCATTATAATACACAATAATGCATGTTATACAAATGCCCTGTGTATGATCTGTGACATGGTTTGATGTTTGAATTTCAAAGCACATGATTGGCCTTGTGAGACCATAACTCCTGTCATGTGCCTCAGATACAAATTTTTACATGTGCTTCTACTACCTTGCTGACTATGAATAGGTCCTCTCTCTTCACCACTCCTTGGTTAATCAAGGCATCGACTCCGTCCCCAACTTCATTCTCATTTTCATAGACATGGGCCCCATCGATGTGATGGTAGCCAACCAGAATGGCTGCCTTCACGGCCTCTGTGACCTCACCTGGAGCAGACTGGAGCAGGTTTCAAAATTTGACTATGAAATCTTAATAGGCTTTGCAATTATTATAAAATCTCTAAAATGAAAAATAAAACCTGAAAAGAAAAGCATTAAATAGAACAACGTCTAGTGTTTCAATGGAAAACAACAATAAAAGCAACAGCTGGGGGAAAAAATTATTAAAACCATTCAGAATGAAACTCTACTGTACAAAAAAAGAAAAAAGAAAAAAAGTGAATACTTACCCTCCATGTTCCCAGTCCAACAATTGGCATTTTAGCTCCATTATTGAGAGTTACAAAGGTCATGGTAACTTTTAATATAAAGCACTTATTAGATAGAAAATAAATCACTTGTTAGTCTGCTCACTTCCACAGCCTTCACACTCTGCAGCAGTTTTTTCTTATGAAGCTTTCAGATTATATGGGCTTGTATGTGGATTTGATTGGTCAGGTCTGGAAACATCCCTTGGAAGGAGGCGCAGAGGTGCATCATTCCACCATGAAACAGACTTGCTTGTTGTTCAGAGAGATTTTGAAAGAAAATTAATTTAATTATTAAAAAAAAAAAAAAGTATAATATATATAAACATTTTTGTGATTGCTTCTGATTTTTAAAACATGAATGACATGATATATCATATTGATTGTAATAACCGCCACAAATACATCCGAATTATTTTGTACAATATATAAATTTCTTTCTTTCATTTAGACAGTTGTAAGAATTTTTATTTAGACAGTTTGTGATTCTTAAAATCTGAATGGCATGATGATCGTAGCGATAATAGTAGGCTAATTGCAACAATTACATTGAAGCGTCAATTTATTTTATTTTATTATTATTTTATTGCTGTTGCAGACGCCACAAGCTAGCAAGGGCAGACATATGTATAATATTCAGCAGCAAGTAGGAAATGGAAGAAGTGTTTTTAGGAATAGGAAAGAAGATACAATTATTTCTCGCATCCGAATAGGGCATACTAGATTAAATCACTCTGTTTATTATAGGAAAACATGAAACAGGTCAATGTATTTTTTTTTAATCAGGCAGAAACAATAGAGCATGTTTTAATAAAATGTAAAAAAAAATATGAAAAAGAAAGGTTAAAACTCATTAAGGAAGTAAGAAACATGGGCATTGAATCATTTAATTTGTCAAGGCTTTTAAAAGAGCATGCAGAACAAGGTAAAATATATGGTGCTATTATAAAATACATTAAAGAAATAGGATTAATCAGGAGAATTTTTTTTAATGCATGTATATGTATATGTGTGTGTGTGTGTGTGTGTGTATATATATTATTTGCTTATTAGTGCTTCACACACACACACACACACACACACACACACACACACACACCACACACACATATATATATATATATTATTTGCTTATTAGTGCTTCACACTCCAGTCCAGTTGGTGGCGGTAAATGCACCAGAAGTTGGTTTGCCATCCGCCATAAAACGTTATTAGAAGAAGAAGAAGACCCCCCCCCCACAAGCTTTTATTTTGAAACTGTTTTTTTTTGTAGTGTCGTCAGAGAGCTGTTCACATAATTGTGTTTACTAAAATCCAAAACATTCAGTGACTTTTAATGTAATTTTGCGTGGTAAATCTACCAAATACTGTACAACAGAAATGAGCGGATTAACAAGCAACATCTGAAATTATTGACTTCAAGAACAGCAGTTAAATGACTACATCATGGACATTATATTCCCCAAACAAGAGCACTTGGGTGAGAGGATGCTGCAAGTCATTTATAATCGAATTTTCTTCATTTACAGATATTTGAACTTTAAATCTTTAGATGTCTAACCAAGCCAGCCACAAACAATCGCTTATTTTAATATTTAGTCTAAAAACTCAACCAAACTCCACTGATTTGTGCATGGTTGTTATTCTATTTTTGACAATGGTTTAAAATTGAATTCCAGACAGAATTCCTCTCCCTCTGCCCGCCCTGCGCTTCTTGGTCCCTCCTGTACGCCTCATGTCTGCCTTCATGTGGAGAATTGTGCAGCAGAAGGATGTGATGCAGTATGGGATGCTGGCAGATTTTGTTTCATTGGTGTCAGAGGCAGTTCCAAAATTGGTTAGTCGTAGACTTGGAGTTCAACTCATTTTAGGACTGCGTGCAAGGGTAAGTGACCACAGCCGAGTTGGTCAAATTCTTCAATAAATATATTATTCATGGCAAAATCATAGTCGAATGGTTGTCTGCTAACAAATACTCTTTTTTTCCTCTTGCATCTAGCTTGTTTTGGAGTTGTGTGAGAGAGACAACGCTGCTGACATGCACACAATCCATACTCACCTCAACAGCATTCAACTCGTAATTAGAATTGTTTCATCTTTATTACTGATATTTTCAAACAATTCTAGCTTTCAGTTATTGGGCTTTTGATATTACATGTTTCAAATACTGTAAAGTGTTAAAGAGAAATGAAATTGAGTGTGATGTCAAACAGGTGGATAACACTGTGGTGGGAGAAGCAGGTGTTCGTTTTGTGGAGCTGGTCCAAACACTTATTAAAGATGTGGATGAGAAGGAGCATTTCTTCCAGGTCAGATCTAATAAACATTGTTAAGTGTTTTTTTTTTCAATTCTTTTTGCTTATTTGTCTGTCCTTTTCTCTGGTTTCTACAGCACGTGTTTCCAGTGGATTTCGGCACTGACTTTGACGCAGCCATTCGGGTCCTGATGTGGCATTTCCTGTCTAGGCTGGAGCACTTCCTGCCAATCCCTGACCTCCAGCAGGTGGGATGTCGTGGTCAATCTAGATTCCTAGAAATTGTGTTTTGGAACTACAATCTATTATTTATCGTTAAATCTGGAGTTTTTGCAAAGATGACACCGAAAACCTGCACAAACACAATTTTTATCATCTTGTGTCATATTATAATACTATATTGTGAGAAACTATCCACTATCATTCATATTAAGGAATATATTATGAATATTTGGATTACTGTGATTTCAACAGTGTTATTTTAGTATTTTTTATAAACTTTTATAGCTTTATTAATATCTTTTAGTAATTTGCTTTTATTTTTATATTTTAATTTTAGTTTCATTTTTAGTAATTTTTTATATGCTTTTGTCATTTTTATTAGTTTAATATTTGTAAATAGCTTTTATTTTATAAATTAGGTCAAAACATAATTGTATGTGTCCTGAGTTTGCTATTGCTAACCTTCTGGTTTCAGACTCTGGCTTGGCTTGATCCACTGTTGCCTGTTTCAAAAGACTGTGAGGAGTTCAATAGTCAGTCAGATCACGTAAAGACACTGCTTGAGCACTACAAGAACCTTGGACATCTAGATACCAAATGTAAGAATTTGATCAAGTCTGTTTGTCTTCAACACTTTGCTGAAGTCAATGACAGTTACAGTAGCTACTGTTTATAACAGTATCTTTCCATATTGCAGACCCTTGTCAGCCCATGAGTGCAGGAAATTGCATCCTGTCCACACTCTCTGGTAAAGCGAGTGACATCCATCAGAAGAGAGTAGGTCACGTTCAGATTTTCGACAGACAGACCTTGGACCACATTCAGAAAAGCGCCGCGGAGTCAGTAGTAGGAGCACCTGAATGTACAGAGACTCTGGTAGGACCGGATGATAATGGAGAGCATCTTTTTACAGAATCAGAGTGTGCAAGAGCCGTGGCTTTGAATGATTCTGTGCTAACGCTTCCAGAAGACCACAATTCTACAGATGTAATAGAGGAATCAGACTCTAATACTGAACAGTCAGAGTTCCTGTCTTCTCCTTTGTCTATACAACCAGTGCCTGAAGACAGTGCTGTACCCAAAATACTTGTAAGCATGCGCAGATCTGCACAGAAGCCTGTTATCTCAGAAAACAAGTAAGCTCATCATTTGCTTATTGTTGTTGCAGTTTCAACATGAGTATTAGTATGCTCGCAATCATAAGATATAACATAAGAATATATAAGAACATATTCTTGAACATATGTATGACTCCTAATGTCTTCATTAAAACAAACTTGGTACACAGAACAAATATTGTTTATTATAGTATAGATTATTGAAATTCATATCTGGGTTATGATGACTTACATGGGTCAGTGGCAAATAATAGTGTCCACAATTCAGAAAAGGCGGTTCTAAAAGCAGTTCTTAGAAATGTTGTTTTCCAGTGCTGTTTTTGTTAACTAAAACTAAAACTATTAAAAGTCATTTTCTGTAATTGAAATAAAGCTGAAGTAAAATAAAATATAAATATTATAAACTTAAACTTAAAAATCTTAAATTAGAAAAGTTGCCTTGGCAACTAGCTGAAACAAATAAGTTTGAATTGAAGAAAATATTCAAACTTAACAGAAACAAAAAAGAAATTAAATCTAAAGAAAATCACAAAACACAATACAATTACTAAAACTTAAATTAAAATGAAAACTTAAAAAAATATAAAAATGAAAAGCTTGAATGATAATATAAAAATAGTTGCATATGGTTTTAAAAAAACCTTTTAGCAATTTTCAAGAAAGAATTCAGTTTTCAATTTAAGTTTAGACTAAAAATGTCACGTGGTATAACTTTCAAATAAAAAGTAATATATGTATTTCTTGTATAATACATCATACTTATTAATGACTGTACTTGATCATTTTTTTCAACAATGTTTTATTTTTTTCAAGGTAAATATAAAAAAAAATGTGAATTATTAATTCATACATATTACGTTTTTGGGAAGTCACATAACATGACATTTCACAACCTCAACTTGTGTGTATCTTACCAAGCACATCTATTGATTGTGGTACTATTGTTAAATGTTTTTAGGGGTGACCCTGTGGAGTCTGACAAGTCTGATTGCACCTCAGATAACACAAGTGAGTCACTTTCCCATTACTCCACTATTTATTTTGAGGTTCTGATGTACAGATGCCAAAGAGGTACATATAAAGAAATCAGTGATTGACTATGTTGATGACTGTTTCTTTTTGCAGATGGATCCTCTCACACTTACTCGTGCTTGCAGTGTCCATTCAGTCACTCTCAGGAGCAAAACCTCAGAAGTCACATAAAGAAAGTCCACTCCACTGAAGTAATGGGAAGTGGGGCTGCAGTTGACCCCTCTTTGCCCAACAGCTGCCATGTTTGTGGCAAAAGCTACCACTTCCCGTGCTTATTAAAAGCACACCAGCGCACCCACACCGGAGAGCGTCCTTTTCTCTGTCCAGTATCTGAATGCGGCCGCAGTTTCTCCCATTCCCAGGCCCTCCGTCGCCACAGACTCATTCATGTGCCCAAAGACATCCTAATATCACCAAACGACTTTCCTGAGGAAAACAAACCACAAAAGCCAGAATCCCAAACCTATGACTGTCTGTACTGCGGAGAGACCTTCAGCTCGCTCAGCGCCAGGAGAGACCATCACAAGACCCACCCTGAAGAAGCAGTGCATCGCTGCAACGCCTGCGGGAAGCAGCTTAGCTGTCAGGCAGCTCTAATCAGACACAAGCGGATCCATGCAGAGGAACGACCCTATAAGTGTACCGAATGTCAGTCCACCTTCATTTGCTCAACCTCTTGCAAACGACACATGCTGACCCATCAGCCGGAGAGACCATTCATTTGCACCTGTGGAAAGGGCTTCACATACCGCGGCGCGCTTTTGGCTCATCAGCGCAGCCATTTGGAAGAGAGACCATACCGTTGCACGGACTGCGGGAAGGGGTTTCTGTACCCAGGGGCTTTGGTGCAACACCAGAGAACCCACTCCAAAGAGAAACCATGCCTTTGTGCACATTGTGGGAAGAACTCTAATATAGAGAATTCTCTTTGTTCACACTCGGACAGCCACAGCACAGAGAAAACTTTTAAATGCACCTTGTGCGACAAGTCATTCGTGTTCAAGGCCAGCTTGACCCGGCATAAACTCACACACACCGGAGAAAGACCGTTCCTTTGTGCAGACTGTGGAAAGGCCTTTTTCACCTTCGGAGAGTTGCTCAAGCACCAGCGCTACCACACAGGACATAAACCTTTCCAATGCTCGGACTGCAAAAAGAGTTTTACGCAAGCGTGCTACTTGCAAGTCCACACGAGGCACCACACAGGCATACGGCCTTATTCGTGTTCTCAGTGTAACAAGAGTTTCATCAGTTCTTACCGCCTTAAGAGGCACCTGCGGATTCACACGGGAGAGAAACCCTTCCAGTGCTTGGACTGCGGGAAAAGATTTCAACAGTCATATCACCTGAAAGTGCACTTCCAGACTCATGTAGAAAAGAGATCTGAAAGCAGGACGTCTAATGCTTCATTGATGGCATCATAATTACTGGGGGGGTAATATAATTTATATTATATAAATGTAAATATTTATATTTACAATATAAATATTGTAATGTTAAGTGTTTACACAATTACACATTGTGAATGTTTTTTTTTTTCATATTTGTTCTCATACACACACAGGTTCCTGTAATGTGGGTCAATTTATGTTTTATATCAACATTAAGTGAAAATGTACCTTAGTCAGGGGTATATGCTTCATTTAATTTTTCACAAGTAAAAATGATGTGATAAGGAACGCGTACAGACTGTCCAATAAGTGTTAATTTAGTGATCAATTTATTTTGTTGTTTCATCATGGCTAAGGTCAATAAAAAAATGCGTTGTTGATTTATAACAAAAAACGGTTGGGTTTTCTTAAAAAGCACATGCTAAAACGTTTTAATTTTACATATTACAGTAACTACAAACGTTTCATATTATAACCTTTAGTTGTGTATTATATAAGGGTTAAATGACCTAACACCAACGAAATAGAAGTCGCATTCACCTGATGATTGATGTTTGGCTAGTTGTATCTAAAGGACTAACCTCGACTGTGCCTCGAAGGTAAATTGGAAAGCCTCGCATTGTCTTATTAGTTTTACAGTGTACGTTTAAACAACATTATATACATAGACCAATTTTCACGAAAGCAAGATAGAGATAATTGATGTGCCTAATAACCTTTTATCCACTAGCCTGTCCTCTGCACGACTTGTACCGTCCGCCAGGTGGCACCAACACAACGCCATTTTAATGTGTTCCAGGTGTTAACTGTTGCCTCAGTGTTTACAGCAGCACCAGCAGCTCTCAATAACAAGCAGGTAGGAACTGGTATGAAAACATTATTTTTTTTATCATCATCTTTCTGGCTCTGGATATAGTTATTCAAATTAGCAGCTGTAAATAGACAACTGTGCAATTGTACAGTGGTTGCATTTAACATTGTTTTTATTTCTTGCTGTTCATGACCCTAATAAAACAAACCTGGAATCCAGGTCTTAAAAGCATTTCAGTGCCCAGTGAACCCTGTGATTCAGATACCCCAATCAGAAGAAATGCAGTGTTTTTCATTTGATTGCTTCTGAAATGTCATGTTTCAATTTTAATAATGATTTATAATATTTTAATTCTTCTGAATTCATATGCCAGCTTTGTCATTCATTTTAATATTAACATTAATCTTTCCCTCCAGTGAGTTGTTAACGTTAACTCCTGCAACTCTGCCAATTGGACATCTAAAAATCTTGACATTTTGGTTCCTCAAGACTTGGAATATAGTGCACGAGTTTCATGGACTGCTTTGTGTGAATACTTGAATGGTGCTTTTGCATCTTTTTACAAGCTTGAAAGCTCCAGTACCCCTCCATTTTTTCTCTTCCTTTAGGTTTCTACAGTTATCATTAATGGACAAAAATTAAGATACCTGCCTTTCTTTCCTTTCTTCGCTGACAGTGAAACATAAAATCAATACTGCTGTATTAGAACACAAAGCAGCAAAGGGCAGACACTTGTGGGTGGTTGTTTGGAGTCCCTTGGTCCATTCATTCTGTAAGTGTTTCCAACTGGGATGGGAGAGGCCGGCGCCTGCCCAGCTGCTGCGCACTGACCTTCCACTTACAGCAGGAGGGACAGAGTCATTTACTAATGCAAGAAGCACAAGGATCCATATGACTTTGAAATACTTTTTTGGTGAGAGTCTAGTTTGCAAGAGGCAATTTTTACATCAACTCTGCATTTGCAGGCTGTATGTTAGGGCCATAAATGTGACTCCAAGATGTAGGTGATCGGAACAGATTTGGCGAAATTTAGCATTCCATCACTTGCTCACCAATGCATCCTCTGCAGTGAATGGGTGCCGTCAGAATGAGAGACCAAACACCTGATAAAAACTTTACAGTAATCCACACAGCTACAGTCCATCAATAATGTCTTGTGAAGGGAAAAGCTGCGTGCTTGTTGGAAAAAAATCCATCATTAATGCATTTTAACTTGAAATCATTGCTTCTGGCCAAAATCCATAATAACTTTTCCTCCAGTGAAAAAGTCCAAGCCCTATTGTCCTCAAAATCCACCGACATATTTACTTAGAACTGTTTTGGATTGTTTTCGCTTGTGAACGGTGCTGATCTGTGCATATTTCTCTCCTGTTTCAGACGAGATGACTTTTTCACGTGGAAATCAATATTATGAATAGAGTATAGACATCTTAGTGGTGAATTTGTTTATTACAAACATGCAACTTTTCAGATGTTAACTGATGTACTGGAGTTGTGTGGATTGATGTTTTTATCAGCTGTTTGAACTTTAATTCTGACGGCACCCATTCACTGCAGGTAGTCCATCAGTGAGCAAGTGATGTAAGGCTCCAAATCTGTTCTGATGAAGAAACAAACTCATCTACATCTGGGATGGCCTGAGGGTGAGTAAATTGTCAGCAAGTTTTCATTTTTAAGTGCACTTTTCCTTTAATTAAACACAAGACTCTGAGAGATACAACTTGTACATGTGATTTAATTCTGGAAGGCCTGCAGTTTTCTATAACAGTGTAATGAGTTTAATTAAAGACGGGAGTGAAAGGGGCACCCCATTTTTAAGTGACAAAAAGGCTATTTAAATGTTTGTCCAATTTAATTTGACACTCATCCGTAACTTCGCTTTGAGTCTTCTTCTCATTAGCTTTACAGAACTATGGCAAACACAAGGGCACTGTTCCCTCTCCCTCCATTTGTGTTATCTATTTTCCCTCTCATCTCAAACAATCAATTACCTGGATGAAGTAAGCCCTTAATGCCTTTAGCTGGAAATTGCCTTTGCGCCCATGCAAGCCCAAATAAACCAGATTAGCCAGTGGTGATCGAATTCCATAGGGCCGAGACCCTGACGAGGAAAAATTCCCTCATCTGCCAAACTCCTGCAGCATTCAGCTGATAAGTCTTGTGTGAACAGCTCACGAACCGTGTCCCTGTTTGTGTTTTTGCTTTGTTTCAGAGAACGGATTTTGGAACCTGGTATTCCGGGGATTTGTTACTGAAGAAGTGAGGACAGATGTGAAGGTGTGTGTGTATATGAGATCGAATTCTTCAAGCACTAGTATAACTAATCTTCACCTTTAAATACATGCTTTGAATCAGTCTGAATCTGTATGTATGTGTGTGTGTGTGTTATTTATGTAATATTTATGTATTAATTTATATTGATCCTAAATACATTTGAACAGGTGTGCAATGGTACAGCGAATATCCTCTGTGAAAAAGCAAAAAGACCATTTGTGGAAATGTGTATCAGAAAAGATAAAGAGACATGCTGTTAAGGGACGCCACTGAAAGATACTTTAATGACACTCAAACTGGGGCAGACAGTGCATTTTGGTTTTAGGAAGTCATTAGTTTAGGAATGGATTCACATACGATCAAACACGGTCCTGTGTGGGTCGTTGCCTATATGAGGTGAATGTAACTTTGGTGTGTGTCTAGTGGGCTTTGTGATATTTAATAGCTCTTCTGAGACCATGATAAAGTTTTAATGCATACGTAAAAAGAGCCCTGCCTCTGCTTAATGAGCTAATCTGTTTAATGCTAACTTCACACCCACCAAAGAATCGCTTGCAGTCTCCCCTCAGACACGAGACGGCGGCAGGACTATAAATAGACCTTTAAGAGATTAATGCAGTTTCTGTGATTTGTTATTGAGGTCGGATCCGAGGCTACTAGGACTAGTGACAAATTAAGGTGATTATCAGATTATTGTCCGTTGCTCTTTCTCAGTCTCACTTCCTTCCTTTGTTTCTCTTTTTATCAATTATGAATCTTCAGATCTGTCTTTTTTTAGTTTCACACCTGTGCCACGTGTGTTTCTCTGCACTTCAGTAGTAGTATCCTACACTATGTGTCAGATTGGTGATTTATGACCTGATTTTTGACCCCGTCAGCGTTGATTGACAGGTTGTCATATGTCAAATGTGTACATGATCAGATTTATGACCTGATTTATGGCTATATGACCCCTCTGTCACCCTGACTGCCATGTCACCAGAGTCTTATCACCCCTGACTGACATGACAGTGGGGTGTGTAAATCAAAAGATCAAACAGATGTTAGATCTGACTTTTGATGTATTTATGACTGGATTTATGATGTTTTTATCTCTTACCTGCGCCATGGGGTTTTTATGGAGTTCCTTCCTGACCAGTTGCTAACTTCCAGGCTGGAGGTGTTTGGGTTCTTCCTGATTGTGGAAAAAATGGCTAAGCAAAGGGTGTGTATTGTCACCTCAACAGGATCAATATTTGTTTGATTTATACGGTATATGTTAATGCGTAGTCACCAACAGTGTGGCTACCGACCCGTCTACATCTAAGCAAGGAGGTTGTCTGGGGCATCTGGCTTCCGTGTTTGTGTTTTAGGTCAACACCTTTGGTGGATTGGTGTCTAGACACCAGAGCCCAAAGCTTCTCCCCTATCTGTTTCCTACCGTGATGTAGTCGGTGTCCGATATAATGTTTTACTATGTTTGTTAATGGGGATGTGCTTTGTTTGCGGGTTGAAAGATATCTAGACACGTGTCCATCTCAAACCCCTAAA